CCCCAAAACCCCAAAACCCCAAAACCCCAAAACCCCTTTTATTATGCTCACATTGAATGTAAATCTTACCAATAAAAGCTAATTTGCTTCTATTACCTTGAAACATCACTGTAAAATATTGCTTTGACTGAGTTTGGATAGATTTTACAGTGAAACTTCTTGGATTTTTTAAACCATCCCGTTGATGTTCTTGCCCTTGAACTTGCTCTTGGTCGATCTCTTGTTAGGAAAGAGATATTGAGCTCCTGGAGAAGGGTTGTATGGGGAATATGAGTCTTTCCGATCAACTTTTGGGGCATCCTTTCCTTCTCTTTCAGCCTCCTCTCTTTCTTCATATTGCTCAATGTAATAAGACCAGTGAGCACTTAATGAATCCGAGTAAATCAACTGCACAATAATATTGATCAAGAAAAGGAAAGCTGAAACACCGAATGTAAGGGAAGGAGACACATTCAAAGACTGTACTGACCAGAATGGTCCGATAATTCTGGAAATGGCTCCTACAGCCAACATGTATCCCATGTAAACTCCAGCTTTGTGCTTTCCAATCAGCTTGGAGAAGAGTGAGAGAGTCACTCCTCTCCCTAGAGGGAAAGTCACACTGATTATACAGAAACCAATCACAAATCTTGCTGGTTCGATTATCCCAGGGGAGAAATCAAGAAGCAAGAAGTATCCAACTAAACCCATAATTGAGCTAATGAGGACAAAATTTTTGTCTGATGTCCATGTGTTGATTTTTTTGAGGGCAAGGAAAGTTAGTAAGGACAAGAATCCACTACAAGCAAATAAAATATAAGCAAAGCTCTCTGGATAGTCTAGGGTGTTAGTGTACTTGTGGACAACATCTGTGGAAATTGGAGTCATGACAGTCTCTTGTACAGCAAAACCATTGAAATGTATCAAGAAAATTAACAAACACACTACAACTCCTGTTTGATTAGGCTTGAGTTTTGAAAGGAAACTCTTTTGTTGATCGTCAAGGATATGGTATGTAGCCTCTTCAGGATCTTGGTGAAGAATCTTGGCGATATCTTCATCATACTCTTCTTCTTCGTCAACACTAACATCTTCATCATCTTCTTCATCTTCCTCTTCATCTTGTAGTCCTCTCCGATATTCTCTGGGGATTTCTGTAAATAAGAATATAGTTCCCAAGAACATTATAATTGTGAAGATAGCCTGGAAGTATCCATTTGACGTATGCTCGTCAACATAGAATGATCCAACTCTGAAATTGATGAACCCACAAATGAGGCCAATTACTGGACCGAGGATAAATCCAAGCACTGCAGATGCCCCTAGGTCAGCTATCATATTGAGGTTTTCATCTTTATCAATGCATTCAGTGATATAGGCTTGTTCGATTGTTTGCTGCCCTCCTGTCCAAAGTCCTTGAATGAATCTTCCAAGGAAAACCAACCACTTACCCCATCCAATGAAGTATCCACCGAAGGAGTATAGCAAAGACCCTACAAAGCCAGCTCCTATGCAAGTGTAGAGAGAGAATTTCATTGAGGATGCATTATGCACATATCCCCAAATGATTGATCCGAGGAACTCTCCGATAGAGTAGATAGCCAGCACCATAGCTAAGAAGTTCTCATCAGCGCCGAATCTCTGGAGATATGGCCATAGAGAGGGAAGAACTATTGAGAAGGAGACACAAGCCAGGAACACATTCATGTAAAAAATGATCTTCCAGCTGTAGCTATGCTCTAGTTCTTTGTACATCTTTACTAACTGGAGATCCCGCTCGACAGTCGTGCTGTTGACCTTTCCGTTCAAGAACGGCGTCTCTAATTCATTTTGAATTGAATCGTTCATGATGAATTATTTATATAAAAATCACAAAAAAATTGGAAAAATCGGGGTTTTGGGGTTTTGGGGTTTTGGGGTTTTGGGG